ATTATTATTATTATTATTATTATTATTATTATTATTATTATTATTATCGCTCAATCTTATTAAAATGAAGTTTATGGGTGGGTAGAAATCCATAGTCAGGGATGGAGATGTGATCAGGCTAATATTGCTTTGGGGCAATTGATATTTTAGAACGAAGCCTTAGTTGCTTGCTTCTCATAGCGCCATTCAACGAAACAATTTGTTTTTGTTTATTCCTGCCTATTCGGTATAAACGCGCAAAACTACTTAGTTTTCCCATCTCTTAATTTCCGACAAAGACTGATGTTTTTTTCCTCTTTTCTTTTCCGGAGGATGGGGGAAAGAAGAAATAAATGTTTTTAGTTTGACAAAAATGAAGCTTTTTGCCACGCCGAAGAAGCCCTGAACTTACTTACTTCCAGCCTCACAACCATCTTCTGCGTTAAAGAAAAGTGTTTGTGCCGCAAACTCATAACAAAAGAAGAGAGTTAGCTTCTCTTAGTTCTTGATGGCATTTAGGACTAAGATTTAAACCGAATGCAACAATTAACTGCTGGCAAATATGGTGCCAGATTGATCGTTTGTTTCCCTCTGAACTAGGGAGTGAAATGTACTGTTAAATGTTGCAAAAAAAATGTACAAAGCGATAGATTCACTTCATGGGTGTTTTTTTTTTCCCTTGTGAAAGCTTCTCCCTTTCCTCGGCTACCCCCTCATTAATGGGTTAAGTCCCCCACCCGTTAATTATTGTTAAATATATTGGGGGCGGGAAACACGACTATACTGGCGTGATATTAAAGAAACAGATCTCACGATTTATATTCTGTTCCTCAAACCTTTTAAAACATTTTTTTCCTTCTAGAATATCCAATCGGATATTAGGATCATTCAGTCCGTTGTGAGATTAAAAAAAAAAAAACCCACTGATTCTCCTAAATACAAGTCGCCTTTAGGAACGGTCTAGCAACACAAAAGCTACGGGGTGGAGGGAAGAGGACAAACCGAGTTCCGACGCAGACAGCTGGGAGTTGGAGCTGCGCGCGGATTCATCAGAAAGGCCGCGGAGTCAATGCAGATCGCCTTTGCAATCCCATTCTACTGGGATTCTTTTTCTTTCTATTTAACTCTGAGTTTACGGAAACTCTCCCCCCAGTATGGACATTGAGCGAACAGCGGAGTGCAGATTAAAAAAAAAACAAAAAAACGGACAGGACGAAATCAAATCTCAAACAGGGCACTCTTTCATGTTTCCCTGTATTGATGTTAATGGTGATCACATTTCAATGGGAATTGTGATACTTTAATCATACAATCGTGTGAAACGGTTTTTTTAAAAATGCACCTAAGAAACCAACCTCTGAAGTCTGTCAAAGGAATTAGATAAACCAGAGCAATCTCAGTTTAGCCTGCCGTGTCTCGAAACGGAGCATCTCTCTTAAGAAACGTCCCGCTAAAACGTCCGCGGGTTGGTTCAAGCTTGGGGAAGTTAAGACATGCAAATTGCGGCAGACAGTTGCTTTACCCGTTCTCGCTCGGGACGGCAAGGCAGCTGACTTCCATCGCCCCTCTTTTCTCGGGATTACGGGAAACGGCTGCGCATTGAAGTGGGGAGAATGTGAATAAGCATCTTTTGGCAACCGGGAGGGATTGGATTTTAAAAATGGCTTTCCTTCAAAATAATTCGGAGGGGAGAGACGCCATCTAATTTGGCAAGTGAGACCCACTGAGCTCAGCCAAACATTTTCCACCTTAGTATTGCGCTGCGTTTCCTCAGAATCATTTCCCCAGTTTTTTTCACTGAGATTTACTCCGAGGTAACCATGGCCGTCTCCACCGGGGACCCCTCGTGTCTCCTATGCTTCCTACTGATGCGGGACTGTGCATCAATGTTGCACATACCAACGTTGCAGCCTTAAATGCAAGGCGGATGCGTGGTAAATGGATGACAGCGCAAAAGAAGTCGCTGTTGCACATCTGAAAAAATTCTGGGTGGTGGTCGCGGAGTAGTAGTCAGAGCGAGGGGGAAGTTCTGCTCTCTGCATCAGCGCCACCGCCACCTTTATAAACCTCTTTGAAAGCAAGAACTGCCCCGTTATTCTAAAGCCCTTTGGTAAGTTTATCACTTGCATTGACTTTAATGAGATTTCATCAAGCAGATTTCATTAATTTCATCCTTGATTCACAAACGGGGCAAAGGAAAATATATGACATTAGAGGCTGACTGATGAAATCGCCCGAGACCTAATCCGTGTTTTAGTGTGCGTGGTGGGGAGGGGCGTGTTCTGCATGTATACGAGCGTGCGAGTGTGCGCGCGTTTTAACAACCTTCAAGAAACATCTCTAACTTAAAGCACCAAGGTGGTTAGTTTCTGAGCCTATGGCGCCCCCTCTGGATGGAAGTGGGAGTTACACTTTATCTGCCGCAAAGGTGATTTGTTTATATAGAAATAACTGTTAAATTCCAAGTTAAAAAAAAAGCCGAAGCTGAAAGGAGAGTGGAAAAAGCGCAAGTCAAGCCAAGCCAAAGGGAAGGCGCCTGTCCTCCCAGGCAAAGCAACATGACAGCTAATGATTTAAAGAATTGACAATGCGAGAAGCGCCCATCGTCGACGGGCTCCCTAAGAAATCTTGTGTTTGCAGAGGATGCCCGGGTTGTCTTTCCAGCCTCGATGAAAGGGCGATTTTATACCAAGAGGCCAATTCGCAACCAAGTGCGCCCGGTTTCTTTTTGAGCCATCTTGACTGGGAGGCCAGATTGCTTGGTTTTACTCTTCCGCCTCACTTTCCCGGGCGCTGCACTGACAACTTAATCGTCTGGTCAGTGGCATACTTTTCCTCCTCTGCCTCAATTAACTTTAGAAGAAAAAAATATTCCGGGGATTAGCCCTTAATTTTAAAAGCTCACAAAGTCAGGCACTCTGAAATCAGCGACGACTGTCGTGGCCTTTAAAACTAATTTAGTAAAATTGTTCGCCTCTCTGAGGGAAGGAGGTCAGTACGAGAGAGATATACTCTGGTCTGAAGTTTGTCAATATGTTCAATAAGAAAACTCTAATCTTTAATGGAAAGGGCTTAGCTTAAAGGAGAAAAAGCTGCGTCTCTGATTATGGTATATATTCCCCTCTGCAAACATAGTCTGTTCCCATTTCCTAAAAGTAGGCAGTCCGAGCTCTGCGCGGTTTAACTCAGTCCTACTGGATCCAAAGGAAGGTTAATTCCCAAGTTAAATCGGAAGTCTAACCTAGATATACCTGCTATTTACTTATTTATTTACTTTACAAATGCTTAGTCAACACAATCTGAAAGGCAACTCTGGTCATATATGCTTCTATAAGGGAATCTTTTTGATAACATCGTTTAGGGGAGGGTTGAGCTGTCATTTAAACACTTTGAAAAATAAAAAAATAAAGAAAAAGAGGCCATTAGCCTTACTTGCACAAAGAGTGATAGGAGGCTTTAAGTACTAACCGAGTGTTTCGAAAAGAAATTCTAAATAATTAGAAAAACGCCGCCTTACTTAAGAAGTATCGAGGCCGATTTTCTTCCTCTCCAGCCCCCCACCCCCACCCCCGCCTCTCCACCATAGTCCTCCCTCCTGTCCCGCGAACGGGCAGCTTAGCGCGTTGTGCCCGTCTTCGCCTTGAAACTTTTCAGCACGAGCGAAGCATTAAGATGAGCAAAATCAAAACAAAACCCTCCCATAGGAGAATGAGTCAGAAAAACACTGGCTTTGGGGGGGGGGGGGAAGCAAGGAGAAATTTACTGGGAGGTATCACAACTACCGCAACAGTTGGGAAGTACAAAGAGCCAACTGCAGCGGGCGACCAACTCACTCTCTCTCTCTCTCTCTCTCTCTTCCACCTCTTATTCCCCCCCTCACCACCACCACCACCTCCCTTCGCCTCGGCGCCCCCTCCCTCTCCAGAGGGAGGAAAAAACTTTTTTAGCCAATCAACGCCGCGCCAGCCCTTCCCAGCCCGGGCTGCCATTGGCGTTTCTAAGGCGAAATAGAGCAGAGGCGAGGTATTTATTAAAGAGAGTCGCAAGTGAACGTTAGGGAGAGCCGAGGTTGAGCCTCGCCAGACGACTCCGGGAGCCTTCCGACTTTTCGCGCGCCCCGCTACCGCTACCGCTACCACCACCACCTCCTCCTCCTCCTTCCCACCCACCCCCGCCCCTCCAGCCGAGGAATTCGTCTCCCTTCTTTCAATAGGGGTGGGGGAATTTTTCTTTATCTCTCTCTCTCTCTCTCCACACCTCGTTCAACTTTCCCTCTCGCCGGACGGAGCGGCAGCCAGTCCACATGCGCGTTTCTTAAGAGAGAGCGGGTTTTCCTTCGAGCGGCGACTTCGCGCCAGTCGAGTTTTTCAGCAAAGCCGGCCGCGGCTTTTTTATTTTTATTATTATTTTTTTTTTTTTTTTATTTTCTGGGGGGTGGGGGGGGCGCGAGCGAGGAGAGCGAGACGCTTCGCCTGTGGGGCGCGCGCGGGCTTTTCCTCTCTTCTTGCCCGGCTGTCTTAAAAGAGACGCCGCTCTTGCCGATTGCTTAGCCCGCTCCCTCCCTCCCTCCCTCCCTCCCTTTCTTCCTTCCTTCCTTCCTTCCTCGTTCTCTTCCCCCACCCCTTTCTCCCCTCTGCCTCGATTTTTATTGTGTTTTATTCTTTCCGCCCGCTCTTCTTTTGGCTTCGCCCTTTTCTCGCATGAATCTCCTCGACCCTTTCGTGAAGATGACCGAAGAGCAGGAAAAGTGTCTCTCCGGCGCTCCCAGCCCGACCATGTCGGAGGATTCCGCGGGGTCTCCCTGCCCTTCGGGCTCCGGCTCGGACACTGAGAACACGAGACCCCAAGAGAACACCTTCCCCAAGAGCGACCAGGACCTGAAGAAGGAGAGCGACGAGGACAAGTTCCCGGTGTGCATCCGAGAAGCCGTCAGCCAGGTCCTCAAGGGCTACGACTGGACCCTGGTGCCCATGCCCGTCCGGGTGAACGGATCCAGTAAGAACAAGCCCCACGTCAAGCGCCCCATGAACGCCTTTATGGTGTGGGCTCAAGCGGCGCGGAGGAAGCTGGCCGACCAGTATCCCCACCTGCACAACGCCGAGCTGAGCAAGACGCTGGGGAAGCTCTGGAGGTAAAGTGGGCGAGGGGAGGGAAGGAAAGCCGCGCTGGGGCGAGGAGGAAGCGGCTCGGGACTGCTCCCGGGAAAGGGCGCGAGCGCCGGAGGGGCGGGGACAGCGAGGGAGAATTGGGGGGGGGGGGGGGGGGGGGGGGGGGGGGGGGCGCGGGGGGGGGGCCCGGGGGGGGGGTGGGCGGGGGGGGGGGGGGTGGACTCGCTTCCGAAAAGCGCATCTTGTCCCTCCACCCTCCTCCTCCAGTCTAGTTTCAGTTTAAGAACGGAGGGTGGGGGGGGGGGAGAAAAGAAACCACTAGTTAGAATAGAAACCACTGAGGGAAAAGATGGGAATGCTTTACAGACGAACGTTGTGGAATCCTCATTAGAAAGACAAGAAGATCGGGGCTTCATAAAAGCTTGCCTTTTTATACCCCTGAAAACATATAAAAATATTCCTTAAAATATAGGAAGAAATACTCTGAAAAGCATGTTGTATGTGCCCAGCAAGGCTTCTCTGTTTAGATATTTGGCCTACCTGTTGGGAAAAAAAAAACCCGACAAAGTTAATAACTTGAGCCCTGCTCTGCAGAAAAACAGGAGTAGCACATCTTGGGTGTAATGATGATTGGCACAAGTTGGCAAGTGCCAACCAATAAGAAGTTGGCTCAGAAGGATGACTAGCAAGAGGCACTTGGGGTGGGGAGGCAGGAGAGAAGAGAAAGTGAGTCACCTGGCTGAGGCATGAGCTTAATGACTTGCAAAAAGAAAGAAAAAAAGGCTAAGGGAGCCACTTTTGTGGATGTAGAACGCTTGGGGTGAGTTAATTCCCCAAACGCCTAGAGGAATCCTGGTGTCTGAGCCATGGCTGAAGCTGCTTATGTGCATGTGTCCATAGTGCGTGAGTGGGATGAGAAAAAGGGACTGGTTGCTATCTTGGGTTGTCTTGGAAGGAAGAGAATAAGGTCCCAGGGTAATTGAAAGAATTGCTGAGAAAAAAAAAAAAATGAAAGGAGTGGTTTGAGTCTTCCCCCCCCCCCTTTCTTTTTTTCTTTCTTTCTTGCAAGAGTCTCTGGGGAAGTTTGCAGTGCGTTTCTACCCAGAGAGGAATGCAGGAATAGCAGAATGCTGAAATCTGCCTTTCCTGGTGCCTGTCATTTCATGGTGGATTTTATACACTTTATGTTTTGTCCTCTGTATTATCAGAAGTTCATTCTACCCAAGTTTGGGGCCTCTGACAGCTGCCTGCAGCGATGCTGGCCTAGTGGTGCAGCGGCAGAATGTAGAGTACATTTCTAGCAAATCAAAGGTTGCTCTGAGTAGTAAAATCAAGAAGCTTAAACTCTGGGTAGAACTTAATCATGGCTTTGTTTAATTGCTCAGGTTATTGAATGAGAGTGAGAAGCGCCCATTCGTGGAGGAGGCTGAACGCTTGAGAGTGCAACATAAAAAAGACCATCCAGACTACAAGTACCAGCCACGGAGGAGAAAGTCAGTAAAGAACGGACAGGCTGAGCAAGAGGAAGGATCGGAGCAGACCCACATCTCTCCGAATGCTATCTTCAAGGCCCTGCAGGCAGATTCGCCCCAGTCTTCATCCAGCATGAGTGAAGTACATTCACCTGGAGAGCATTCTGGTGAGTGTGCCATCTTCCCTTCCTTGTTGAAGATGAGGAAGAACATCCCATGTAGACAGGGCTTCTAAAGGAGCGTCAGTAAGGCAGTCCAGTTAGCAGTCTGCCAAAGAAACCTAAAAGAGCTAGATAGCTATTGGCAAAAAGCAATAGCTTTTGTGTACCTACAAGGCAGGTCTTCAAATAAAATTTCCCATCATATCCATGGGAATTAGATGGTCATAGGTGATCCTTCAATGGGGAATTAGATAGTCATAGGTGATCCTTCAATGGTTCAATCACCTTCGGTCCGATCTAAGTACAGTATATAAAATCATACATTGCAGTGTCCTACCTGCAAATGAATACTTCAGCTTCAATCATAACAATACAAGAGCACACAATAGATACAAACTCAAGGCTAATCGCACCAAACGATTGCAGGAAATATGACTTCAGCAACAGAGTGGTCAATGTTTGGAATACTCTACCTGACTTGGTGGTTTCTTCCCCAAACCCCAAAAACTTTAACCTTAGACTGTCTACTATTGACCTCACCCCTTTCCTAAGAGGTCTGTAGGGGGCGTGCATAAGCGCACCAACGTGCCTACTATCCTTGTCGTATTGTGTGTGTGTGTGTGTGTGTGTGTGTGTGTGTGTGTGTATATATATATATATATATATATATATATATATATATATATATATAT